CATGCATTGTTATTCTCACTATTTCTGCGTTCACTCACCACCATCCTTCACCTCACCATCATGCGTTCTCTCACTCTCACCATCATGCGTTCTCCTCACTCTCACCATCTTCGTTCACTCGGTCTGATTTTATATATTTTCATAACCATCGAGCATACCTTTATCGATCTATCCATCTATCTATCTATCTATCCATCTATCTTGACTCATCCATCTATTCGTCTCCGTTTCAAACATTTGTTAGTCCTCTCCTCTCTCCCTCAGAAGATACAGCCAGAGAGAGAGAGTTACCATGACAACGAGGAAGCCACTCAAATGTAATCGACCAGATATGAAGACGCTGAGAACTGGGAGCATGACTGTACACACACTCAATCTGACAGTCAGCGCCTCACAGTCAGCGCCTCACAGTCAGCACCTCACAGTCAGCGCCTCAGCAGTCAGCCCTCACAGTCATCGCCTCACAGCCAGCGCCTGCCAGTCAGCACCTCCTCCCAGTCAGCACCCCACAGTCAGTGCCCGCAGTCAGCCCCTACAGTCAGCACCTCACAGTCATCGCCTCACAGTCAGCGCCTCACAGCCAGCACCTCACAGTCAGCACATCACAGTCAGCACCCACAGTCACGCCTCACAGCCGCCTCACAGTCAGCACATCACAGTCAGCACTCTCTACAGCCGCCCACAGTCAGCACCTCACAGTCAGCACATCACGTCAGCACTACAGTCACGCCTCACAGTCAGCGCCCCCACAGTCAGCACATCACAGTCGCCTCCCAGTCAGCGCCCTCACAGTCAGCGCTCACAGTCGCAACCTCACAGATAGCACATCACAGTCAGCACCTCAGTCAGCACCCACAGTCAGCGCCAGCTCACAGTCAGCAAGCCACAGTCAGCACATCACAGTCAGCGCCCAGTCAGCGCCTCACAGTCAGCGCCCCACAGTCAGCACCACAGTCAGCACATCACAGTGAGCACCACAGTCAGCGCCTCACAGTCAAGGCCTCACAGTCAGCACATCACAGTCCGCCCCCACAGTCAGCGCCCAGCCAGCGCCTCACAGTCAGCCAGTCAATAGAGGTTTACGTGTGGATGGTGTTTTAGATGGCGAATTTTCTTTGATTCATGTATAGTGAAGGGTTAGTAGTAGTAGTAGTAGTAGTAGTAGTAGTAGTAGTAGTAGTAGTAGTAGTAGTAGTAGTAGTAGTAACAACACCAGTGACTCCCGAGACTTGGTTATATACGTTAACTTAGCACAAAAATTTAATAACCTCAGCCTGTTTGGTTAACACACACACACACACACACACACACACACACACACACACACACACACACACACACGGAAAACTTCACGATTGCATTGATGTACAAAAACTTTATTTTTATATTATGTACAAAGTTTACAGAGGGGGAGGTAGGACAAGGAGATGAGGGGGAGAAGAGAAGAGGAAAGAAAGAGGTAGAAGGATGTGAGAGGAAGGGGAACAGGAGGAGGAAGAGGAAAGGGAAAAGAAAGGGAAAGGGGGCGAGTGAAGGAGGAGTAGAAGGAGTGGAAGGTCGGAGAGGGAGTGGAGGGAGAGAGGAGAGGAGGGAGAAGGAGGATTGAGGGGAGGGAGAAAGATAGGGGCCTTGGGGTCACAATATGTGTGAGAGGAGAGTCTCCGAAGGTCAATAGATCTTCAGTGACCTAAACTTCCATGCCTTCTCCCCCCTCCTTCCCTCCCTCCCTCCTCTTCCTTCTACCCCTCCTCCTTCTCCTTCCTCTTCCTCCCCTGACTCTCAACTCTCTCCATCGACCCATCCCTCTTTTCCTTCCCTCCTCATCTTTTTCAGACTGTCCTCCCCCTCGACCCTCCCTTCATTGACTTCCTTCCCTCCCATCTCGACCTCACTGGATCTCACTCTCATGTGATTTATACTGCTAACAGGGGAGGGAGGGGAGGGAGGGAGGAGGAGGGGAGGGAGGGAGGGAGGAGGAGGAGGGAAGGAGGGAGGGAGGGGAGGGAAGGAGGGAGGGAGGGGAAAAAGAGAGAGAGAGAGAGAGAGAAAGGAGAGAGACTTTCATCCTATTACCTATACAGAGAAAAAAACTTATACATACATACATACATATACACAGGCAAATACACACACAAAAAATAATAAAATATATGTTGTAGTATATCACTGTCCGTCCGTCCGTCCGTCCGTCCGTCAGTGTAAAACTTGTCCACGCGATAACTAGCACCAATAGCGATGGATTTTAACGAAATTTAGTGTGTGTTTATATAACAGTGAGATCTACTAGCAGTTTGATTAGCATTGTTTTGTGGCTATTAAGTTCTTTTTTCTTTGGGGGCGGCAGGCGGGAGGGGGCGGAGGGGAGGGGCGAGGGAGAGGAGGGGCGGGAGGGAGAGTCCTTGATGTTTAAAATGTTTTTTAACTCTACTATTTACATCAGCAGACAGCCCAACACATATCACCACCACCAACACCACATGCTTACTCAGCCGCCACACTCCACCGCCACCCTCACCGCCATCTCCAACAATAATCATGAAAAATTGCAGGTACGGAATAAATTACAGGTACAGGAATAAATAACAGGTACAGGAATAAATTACAGGTACAGGAATAAATTACAGGTACAGGAATAAATTACAGGGATGCTCAGGTGATGACTGTATAATTATATCGGTACAGGTGAAGCTTGGCGTTATGGTGGGAGGGGGAATAGAAAGAGGGAAGAGAAGGAGGGTAAAGGGGAAGAAGAGGAGGGCGGTAAGGCAAGATGTAGGAGGTGAGGAGGAGGAGGAGGAAAGAGGATAAGGAGAAAAGGAAAGAGGAAGGCAAGGGGAAGAGGAGGGGTAATGGGAGGTTGGGAAGAAAGAGGTGGGGAGGAGGAGGGAGAAAGAGGAGGAGGAGGAGGAGGAAGAGGAGAAGAAGGAGGAGGAGGTAAGGAAGGCCGTAGACGCAGACGCCATCCATCAAGTATTACCATACCACGATGAATATGCAAGAGAAGGAAGGGCCGCCCACAGCCACTTGTATACCCAGGGCCGCCCACAGCCGCCCAGTGCCACCCAGGGCCGCCCACAGCCACCCAGACCCGACCCAGTGCCCCACCCAAGACACCCACCTCCAAAGCCACACTCTGCCACAAAGGCCTCGGTGCCCAGGGCCCTATTGCCACCAAGACGCGCCCCAGCCACAGGGTTACTCATCACCCAACAGAGAGAGAGAGAGTTTACCGTGCCAACTCTGAATCTCATAACAACATCCTTCTCCTTCCTTCCCTCCTTCCCCTTCCCCCTCTCTCTCTCTCTCCCTCCCTCCTTCCTTCCTTCCTCTCCTCCCTCCTTCAAGAACACAGGCTAAGACAGACAGTCTATCCGTCCCAAGACAGTACACACACACACACACACACACACACACACACACACACACACACACACACACACACACACACACACACACACACACACACACACACACACACACACACACACACACACACACACTGCTAAAGTCTCCCCAGAGTCTTTCTTTTTCTTCCTTTAAACAACAACAGCAGAAGAGTTTTAACAATGTCGCAAAAAATTATCACAAAAATGGAAACACTAAACAGGGTCTGGCTCTCCCTTTCTGTTTGGTTAGGTTAAGGTTAGGTTTGGTTAGATTAGGTTGATTAGGTTAGGTTAATCTATTACAAAGTTCAATTTTGAAACTTACTTTTTTCTAAATTATTTCCCATCATACACACACACACACACACACACACACACACACACACACACACACACACACACACACACACACACACACACACACACACACACACACACACACACACACACACACACACACACACACACACACACACACACACACACACACACACACACACACACACACACACACCTCACCCCAAGCAAAGGTCCCCTAAAATCATTATTAAGAGCACACCTGTACGATACCTACAGTATATTGCACATCTGTAGATTAATTAACACCTGATCTTACCTCTTAAAATAAACTCAACTATGAGTCTTTTTTCTTCATTTAATTACACTAACAGGTAAAGGTTTATTTATACATTGACACCTGTAGAAGATAGATAGATAGATAGATAGATAGATAGATAGATGATAGGGCAGCTGATGTCGAGGCGTGATTTAATGGTAATTTATTCCGCCCTTCTTTCATCCTTGCAACTACAGTCACCCCCTCTCCCTCACTCTACCCCCCACCCCCCCACCCCTCTCTCCCCACCCACACACCCCACTCCCCACCCCACCCCCTCTCTCCCCACCCCACCCCCTCTCCCCACCCACACACCCCCTCTCCCCACCCATACACCCCTCCCCACCCACACACCCTCTCCCCACCCACACCCCTCTATCCCCACCCCACCCCCTCTCCCCACCCCCCCCCTCTCCCCACCCCCAAGACCGAGACAGACAGACAGACAGATAGTCATACACACACAGACAAAAACAAACAGACATATACAGACAGACAAGAACACACAGACAGACAGACAGACATACATATAGACAGACATATACAGACAGACAGACAGACAAAAACAACCAACACATATCTCTATATATTACACGGGAAAGTGACTCACTACACAGGTTATGTGAGAAGTGAAGCGTGTGGTGCAGCAAGGGTGAGTCAGTCAGCTCTATGAGTGCTTTATCTAGCTCACTGACTGACTGAATGACTGACTAACTGACTCACTCACTCACTCACTCATTGGCTACTGACTGACTGACTCCCTCAATCACTCATTCACTAACTAACTGACTGACTCACTGACTCACTCTTTAACTGACTGACTAACTGACTGACTCACTCACTCACTCACTCACCTAGTTCCTAGTATAAACAGGAGAGAAAAAGATACACTTACTTTCACTAAAAAAAAATCTACTTTCACTCAGAGAAAATATTAACCAACGATCAGACGAAACTATATTACGTCGATTCATTCTCTTAGCCCATCCTGTACCGCCCGCCCATCCCGCCCACGCCCTTCGTAGTCCATTCAAAGCCGTCCATACCCGCCCATGCCTATCGACACCCATCCGAGCTCATCCATCCCTATCCACACCAATGTTAAGTCAGTCCAAACCTATCCAAACCCATTCAAGCCCATCTTTATCCACACAAATGCAAAGTCTGTCCTCCCCCAACATCAATGCACGGTCTACGCCTATCCACACCCACCCAAGCCGATGCAAAGCCCTTTTACGCCTATCCACACTTATCCAAAGCCCATCCACCCTCCACCCATCCACTCCAGTATCATTTAAACAGAGGGAACGACGTCATAATATTTCTCAATATAAATCTGACGAACGTAACTAGGAAGCATTTTAATCTTGCCTGAGAAATATATCGTTGAGAAATATATCGAGTGGCTGGTAAACGCAACGAATATTGAAATATCGGGTAGTTCGGATAAATAATGTATATTTTGAAATATACTTCAGAAATATACCTAAGAAATACAAACGAAATCTATATTGGTGAGAGATACTGTTCGAAAATTATTAAAATACAGTACATAAATACAATTGAGAAACAATACTGAGAAATACTGATGAGAAATACAAATAAAAAACATGGGTCAGAAATAGAGATGAAATATATAGTCAAGAAATCGACTTCAGAAATACATCTGAAATATAAATGAGAAATATTATGGGTAACATGTTTCTCAGTAACACCAAGACCCCGAGATGCCGTCAACAGCTGAGAAACATAAAATGGGCTTCACACATTAGGAAAACAAAACACAGAAGCAGCTGAGACACACAGGTGGACTTCACAACTCTGAAGGCCGACTGAAACCCGCTGGCATTCTCCACCACCACCCCCAGATGGCCTCAGCCTCGGCCCCTGTGAGGGAGTGGGGAAGGAGGAGGAGGGAGAGGGAGGAGGAAGGAGGAGGGAGAGAGGAGAAGAGGAGAGGGAGAGGGGAGGAAGGGGGGAGGAAGGGAGAGAGAGGAGGTGGGAGGAGGGAGAGAGGAGAGGAGGGAGAGAGAGGAGAGAGATAGAGGAGGAGGAAGGGAGGGAGGGAGGAGTGGGGAGAGGAGAGGGAGGGAGGAGGA